CAGTGTGGCCTGGGCTGCAGACGCCGCTGATTGAATTGAGTGGCTCGGCATTAAAGTAGCCCCGGATCTGGGTCCTTCCCCTGCCTGTCACCGGGTGTGCAAGCAGAGGCAAAGTGAGCTGAGCCTCAGTGTCCTCAGGTGTGAGTGTGAGAACACACCCCACGACTCGCGCGGGGTTAGACTTTCGCAGAGTGGACACAGGGCCTCACAGGTGAGCGCTCCCTAGGGTGGGGCCACGGCCACCAAGGTCCCCATCGCCGCCTGGCCCCCGTGCCGGGTGTCACCCCCGCCACAGGCCTCCACGCCGCTCTCTGTTAGGAGAAATTAGGCCTTCGTTTCCCAACTCCGTCAGTTTGGATCTCACACATTTCGTGACGCCGTGTGGGTGGTCCCGTCTGCAGCAGGACAGGCCTGCAGTGCGTGCTGACCCCTCCCGTGCCGCCCGCCCGTGTGCCCGCCACGTTCTGCCGCGCACGCTCTCAGTGCAGTCGAGGCGTGTCCGCGTCTCCCTGGGGAACACGTCTGGTTTGGCAGAACTAAGCCATCCCCCCTCCTGTAGACCAGACCTGCTGGGCTGACGGGACTCGGGGAGCTGGCCAGATCAGTGACGCCACCGGGGCCCGTGTCGCCGGGATGGCGGGCACCCCGGGGGGCACGGCGAGCTCGGGCCGCGGGCACACGGACACGCCTCCCTACACCACACTCTGGGCAGAAGCACAGTTTCAGGCCAACGTCCGGGAGGCGATCCGAGCAAACCTTGATACTGTGGGAACCTTCTGCTCCTTCCCTCCAAGCTCAGCTTGGACGAAAACTCGCTCTTCCGGTTCGAGACAGAGTGAGACTGGATTAAAAGTAAATTGGACAGTCATTGGTTTGTGGATTCCACGTTCCTCCACATCTCCCCCAGGAAGAGCCGCCGTGGCCTCTCGGGGCTGGCTGGCGTGGCGTTGGCTCCGGAGGTGGCTTCCGTCTCTGAGGACTGGCCGATTCCCTCCTGCCCCCGAGCCTGCGAGAGTCAACCCCTCCGCATCATTTAGATGCCTTTTTTCTTCGTCTCTAAGACACCCTCTAGACCCTGCGCGGACGGACATCTCTCTGAAATGTCTTTTTGCACTTCTGTAATGATTCCGCCGAACGCACTCCGTGGGTAAGGGGCTCCGAGGGGGCCGCCCTGGTGTTTCAGGACTGGCTCGGTCCTGCCCCGTGGTTATTTTGACGTCCCCGGGCCCTGGTGCCGTGCCGTCCCTCCCGGGCCTGGCTTCTGTGGCAGAGAGCCTGTGTCTCTCAGTAACTGTTCTCCCGTGTTCTGTAAAAACCGAGCATCGGAACCTTCCGGGCACATGTGCACATGCAGGCTGCACGTCCCGGCTTCCCCCACAGCCACGCGTGGCCACCTTATGGCTGGGGGCTTAAGCACAAAATGTGTGTGCAGAGCGAGTCTGGGTCAGAGAGGAGCCCTTCTGGGTTCTGGGCCAGGCCCCGGGAGGCCCCGAGGGGCCCTGGAAGGTTCCGGGAGGGGTGAGGGATAATTCCATCCGGCAGGGCAGGGCTTCAGGACACTTTAGACCGGTTAGCCTGGCCCTCCTCGGCCTTTAAGGATGCGTATTTGTCAAGGTGTGTGTGTTGGGCGCGGGGTAGAATATATTTCTATTTAACGCCTTTTGCACCTATTTTATACCTTCTGGGTATTTAGACACATGTGAGTCTTTGTCTGAACGGTGGCCACAGGCTGTGCAAATGCCCGTGGAGAGCCTGGTTGCTGCCTACTGCCCGGCCGCGCAGACGTTAGCGCCGTCACAAGGACCGCTATGTCGAGCATGCGGCTGCCCACCACCAGCAGTGGTTAATCTGCAAGGGGCCTGTGATGAGAACGTCAGCGCCGCGGCAGCCCTAAGGCCCAACTGTTCCCCGGGGATTCCCGCTGACGTCAAAGGCCGACTGAACTCATGTTGGGATGAAGAAACAGAACACCCCAAAACTGTGCCCAGAGGCTCAAAGAGGAACAATTGGGTCCTCACAATTTGCAATAATCAGATTTAAAAGACTTGAGTATTTAGGGGCACGAGGGGGCTCAGTCGGTTAAGCATCCCACTTTGGCTCAGGTCATGATCTCACAGTCTGTGAGTTTGAGCCTCACGTCGGGCTCTGTGCTGACAGCTCAGGGCCTGGAGCTGCTTCGGATTCTGTCTCCCCCTCTCTCTGCTCCTCCCCGGCTCATGCTCTCTCTCAAAAATAAAAACATTAAAATAAAAAAAATACCTGAGTATTTAAATCATAACACAATTTAGTTGCAAATCCAAGCTTACATTTAAGTTTATTTTTTTAACATTTATCATTGAGAGAGAGAGAGAGAGAGAGAGACAGAGTACGAGCAGGGGAGGGGCAGGGAGAGAGGGAGACACAGAATCCGAAGCAGCTCCAGGCTCTGAGCCGTCAGCACAGAGATCATGACCTGAGCTGAAGTCATATGCTCAACCGACTGGGCCACCCAGGAGCCCCAAGCTTACATTTTCAAACACTCAATTACCAAAGGACTTTAAGCAGTAGGAGAAACTGAGGAATCTGCACCTGTTTTAGTGTCTGTGCGTAAGTTTCAACGTGTACTTGTATGGACCAAAATGCCACACGCTCCTGTCCGGTGTTAAAAACTGGAACTTTCACTGCCTCAGAGAAATAAAAGATGTTCCTTTTACATTTAAACCAACAAAATGGTTTAACCTGCCAAAGGGTCTAAATAGAAATGTTACATGCTTTTTAAAATTAAAATTCAAGCCTTATTTATGTAAACTATTTAGTACCACCCACCCTTGAATTTTTGGCTGGGAGACTGAGTAGTGGGATGCTGAGTGCAAAGTCTTTTCAATTTGTAACTTGGGGCTTTCAGTGCTTACTTTCTCTGAATGGTGTTGGGGCCAGAAGCTTGGTCATAATTGCTTCCCTACTGCCTGCGGAAACACACTGAAATGTGTCATTTGTGGAGAAGGGATGGTGAAAAGTGTCATGGTCCTTAAGCCTCGACGAAATAGCAGGTGATCACACCTGCGTCTGAGGGGCCCTTCCCGGGGCTGGGGCCGCGGGCTGAGTGGCGGGTTTCTTGCACAAGTACATTGCAAGGGAAATTAAGAAGGAGGTGAGCCCACAGGTCAGAGACGTAAGGCACACGCCTGTCAAGTGCAGTGTGTGGCCCTTGTTTGAATCCCAATGAAAACACACCGAGTGTAAAAAACAAGCAGCCAAAGGACCACTAGCGTACGGCTGGGAACGTCTGTGTCGGCTGCATGTGGGGTGTCAAGGAACCGCCGGGTTTTGGAGCGTGGCAGTGTCCGCTCACGTCTCAGGAAAACGCCCCCACCTTTACGAGATGTCTCCTGAGACATGTACGGATGGATGATGTGCCACCTGGGATTTGCTTGTGGCGGGGGTGGGGGGGGTGGGGGGGGAAGGCTCAGGCCACACACACTTGGACGCAGGGGGAGGGTGTTCATAGATCCTGAGACAGGAGGAGGGGCGTGGTGGCACCCCGGGACTGTTTCCATCGACCTGAGCGAAGCAAGCACCCCAAGGTGGGATGCTACCTGGAGTTCGGAAGGGGCAAGCGATTAGCACCAAAGTAGATTTTAAAACTCTACTTCCCAACTCTGAGAACCAACAGGGAAATGGGCCGAGAGGACGTTCATTCCACCTGTTTGTTGAGCTACTAGTATGTGTTCATCTCTGGGGAGGGAGGCGTGACCCTAAAAGGTGCAAAGCTCATAATCTGGTAGGTGGGATGGACAGGCCGCCGGAGGCAGGACCCCGTAGGTGAGGCTGCCCAGCGCCCAGCCTTGGGGGGTGGGGAGCCTGGCTCCTGTGTAGGGGAGGCGAAGGGAGGGGCTAAGGGGGGGCCCCAGGGGATAAGCAAGAGGAAGGAGGTGGGGTCCAGGGGTAGCTGAGTGAATTATGGGCACATTCCCAAGGCAGGGCTGTGGGGATTTGAGAGAAACCAAACTAAGCAAGAGATGGGAGTAGTGTGGGCAGGACGCATGGCCCCCGCCTCCCGGGGTGTGGGTGCCGCCCCCTCCCGCCCGGGTATGGGTGTGGGCGCCCCCCCCATGGGTGTGGGTGGCCCCTCTCCCCCACCCCGGGTATGGGTGAGGGAGGCCCCCCCCCGGTGTGGGCAGCCCCCCCGGGTATGGGTGAGGGCGGGGTGGGCCCCCCCCGGGTGTGAGTGAGGGCGCCACCCCCCCGGTGTGGGCAGCTCCCCCCGGTATGGGCGGGCCTCCCGACCGCCTGGCCTGAGTGATGGACGGGAGGCGGGGGAGACCATGGCACCCCACCTGTGAGATCAGGTTCTAGAAGGCCTCTGGCGGTCTTCGGGGCGCACTCTCTGGGTCTCCTGGCTCAGCTGCTCTGGGGCCACCAGCTGACAGGTGGCAGTGGCGCTGCGGAGCGGCTGGCGTGGCCGAGTCGGGGCCTGCCCCCCACCGGGCAGTGCGCTTGGAGGCGGGTCCCCCACAGCGCGGCCGCACGTGCGGAGCGGGGGCCTCAGGCCTCCCCGGAGCGGTGCCCAGGCTGTGCCCCCAGACGCGGGCTGGTGACAGTCAGGGAGACCCCAGTGTTTACGCAGCAGGCTGACGACCCAGGGGGGGGGATGGCCCCAGTCTCCTCGGGGGGGGGGGGGGGGGGCAAGTGGCCGGCCTCCACTCCTTCCCCATCCCATAGTCACCGAGTGTGGGGGCCGGAAGTGGGGTGTCTCCCGGGGTGGGGACGCGCCGCTGAGGGGCCCGGGCGGCCGTGGCTGGGTCTGCAGACTCCCCGGGGGTGGGGTGGGCGGCGGCGCCTGCCGGCCGAGGGGAAGGTCCGAGGGCATCGAACGTGAAGAGCTGCCCGCGGACCTGCTCGGACGGGCCAAGGGCGGCAGGTGCCCGGGGGCCCGGGGGCCCGGGGCCCGGCGCCCCCCGCGGGGGTCCCGGCGGTTCCCGCAGCGACGGGGGTCGGCGAGGACGCGAGCACACGGCAGAAACCAGAGATGCTGTTTTATTTACACCACAAGAGCGACAAGCTGTCTGATGAGGTACAAACACTGGACTCCGGGCGGAGTGAGACGGGGTCGCGGCCGGACAGCCGCCCCCACAGAACAGAACGAGAATGAGAAAACCGGGGACACGTCCCCAACTCCACTGGGCGGAAAGAAAGAACCACCGGAGGGTCCGGACAGTCGGAGAGAACGGGTTACATCACAGAGGGAACGGGCGGCTGCCTCCGCGGGGACCCCGGGGACCCCCCCCCCCCCCCGGGCGCCGCTGCAGCTCCGGGCCGGCGCTCGGGCGAGCGGGGTCAGCCCCCGCGTGTATTCGCGTCGTTCTCTCGACTGGGAAACAGCGCCCCCCACGCACACACACCGCGACGGCGGGTCCCCTCCAGGCCGCGGCCTCCGGTGGCGGCCTGTGGGCTGGGACGAGCTCCGTCGTGGCGCCGAGGACCCAGGGTCTCTTCTCCGTGCGCCTGGGGGTCTGAAGCCGGGTGCTCACATGGGTCGCGACTCTCGGCTTAAAGTGACCTCTGGGCCACGTGTGGTCTACAAGCAACTAGAAAGTCCCCGCAGCCGAGCCGTCAGGGGCCGTCCGGCGTGGCCTCTCGCACCGTCGCCGCCGGGGCCGGGCCCTGTGCAAGATCCAGGGACAAACAGAACAAAACGCAACAAATGCCTCCAAGTCAACGGAAGAGAGATAGGCAGTTCACCTTGAATTCTGTGTAGTTTCCCTAAAACACTGTTTCCACATAAATACAATAAACTCTACTGTTGGTATGTCACAAGTGCTAGATAAACTTTGTTTCTTAATATGACAAATGTGTAAGTAGTCCTTTTTATTTTTCTTACAATAAAAAGTACAATTTCTTAAGAATAGGTTCAATAAGACGCAAACGTTCCCCCCCCACCGCCCCCACCGACTCTCCTTCAAGGTTTCGTTTTACAGAAAAACTCCCATCTTTTGAATCTGCAAATGTCGTGAGAGGGGAACAAAAAAGGCATTTTTCTTCTTCCCCGAAGCTGCCGAGTCTGGCGTGCAAAATCCGGATACGATATAAAGACATGCCGTCCATGCAACCTTCAGGTGTAGGAACTTAAAAAAATAGATTCATATATGTTTATATATATATTTATATATGTATCAATGCCCGTAAAACACGTGGGCCCGAAAAGTCTACAAAAAGAATGGAATGAGCACATGGCTGTGACCAGTGAAGGAGGAATGTTCTGATCGAAAAAATTAAAACCGACCAGCTCTGCCGCCCTGGCTTCTGTGCGGATCAGCACCGGCGGTCCTTCCTCTGGAAACAGGGGCGTGAAAGAAAGTGGAGAAAAACCGAAACACTCTGACAGAGCGGCCCTCGGGGCCGGGCGGCCGCCTGCTGGTGGGGCTCGGGCACGCCGGGGCGGCGGGAGCCGGAAGGGCGGGCGCCTCGAGTCCCGGCAGCGTCATGGGGCTTCCCCCGAAGGGACGTAAAGTGCTCGCTCGCTGACCCCCGGCCGGTGCCCCCGAGGCCTTTGCAAAGGAAGAAAAAGGCTAAAGGTGCAAGGGCCGGAGAGGGGAGGTGTGAGGCGCCACCCCCCCAATCCCGGACGCGGGGGGTCCTGCAGACCCTGGCGGCTGGCGGCAGGGAAGGGCCGAGTGTGTCTTCAAAGAAAAGAAAAGGCTACACGGTAATGCTTTAAGCACGTCTGTGGCGCTCGAGTGCGCGGACACGGGAGACACGCTCCCCGGGACTCTCTGCCGAGGGGTCTCCCCAAAGGAGACGGGGAGAGAGCCCCACCACGGACGGCTCCCTGGCCCAGTCACCGTAAAAAGAGTGAGATGACCACCTCCTAAGAGCGGGGTCCCGGGGTGCCCACGGGCCGTGGGGAGCAGGGGCCCAGCAGGCCACACGCTGCTCCGCCCCAGCCTGGACGGCAGAGCTGGCTTCCGCATACGGGCTCCTCCCAAGGTGGGCCCTGCAGCAAAGAGGGGCCAGCGGGGGAGGGGGGGGAAGTCACACACGCCCCAAGACCTTCCTGTCCTGCTCTCAGACCACTGTCCTGGACCTGACCACCAGCATCCTCGTGACCAAGCCAAGCCAAGTATCTGGATTCACTCGGTCAAAGTCCGCCTGCGTCAGCGTCTCGTTGGGAAGCTACCCTGTGAATGCGACCAGACTCAGAAACGTGGCTTGGGGCTCCCTGCTAACGCGGCGCTGAGCCTGCGCTCTCCTCGCAGCTCTGAACTCGCTACATGCTTTGGAATGAAACTGGCGGCTTCAAGTGCTGAAAAATAAGTTACCAGTAAAAAGTGACGGTCAGTTACTGTCAAAGATGAAAAGAGCAAAGGCTGGCTATCCTGGTCAGGAATCTGTTGTCCCTGCGGGCTCGCCAGGCAGCAGGGGCCCTGGGGCTCCCTGAGGCCACAGGCTCCAAAACCCTGCTCACAGCCGGGACCCCGGCCATGTGGCTGCGGCGGAAAAACCCAGAACGGGTGTGGGCCTTGCTCAGGCCCCATGCATTGCTGACATGCTTTAAAAGGTCTTTGGAAAACTGAATTTAAAATCCTATCCTGACAACGCGGCCAGGGAAGTTGAAACAGGAGTGCCGACGGCCCGAGGTGCCCGGCGAGCGACACTGCGGTCCTCCCCGCGCGGCTGCCGAGGGGAAAACACAGCACCCCCTGTAACACTACTGACGTGAAAGGAAGAAAAGCCCCTCGCCATGGTGCAGCCGCGGGGACGGAGCCGGGAGACACACTCCGCGGTCACTGCTAGGAGCTGGCAGCCGCCCCCACCCCGAGCTCACTTCCTGAAAACAAACCGAGGGCAGTTCCGTGCACCGTAGCAAACTGCTCGCTGTACAAAACAACAATGAAAATAATAATAATAATAAAAAAAAAACCTTTGAAAGTTAAAAAAAATGTACAAGAATTTAGAAAGAAAAAAGGTTTAGACGTTATTACCATTCAGGAAACTGCTAAATGGTGAGAACAAAATGTGAAATTCACAAAACAATGCCTCTTCCGGATCTCCTTGTGGCAAATTCATACAAAAATGAACAGCAAATTTCTATCCTTTGCTATAAAAACTCATTAGGTACTTATGTGCGAGGAGGCTCGGAGCAGGAGGGCCCTGTCCGGAAAGAGCGGAAAGGACAGCTCGCCCCCGAAGGCAGCTGCCCAGTGGCGGGCGCGCTGGCGATCTGGAAGCCGTCCAGTCTGGAATTCAAAAATACATGAGTTTCCAACTAGATCCCTTTCCATAAGCACCTTGATGTCTAGTCCACAAGTCATTCATTTGCCAGGGACCTTTACGACCTGCATTTATTATATATATATACTTTTTCTATAAATGCATTATAAATATTTTATCAAGATTTCATAAGAATCAAGTTTCTTAGCTTGGAATACATTGGAATATATATTATACATATATATATTTATTTATACCTAAAATTTAAGCAATACTTCATGCTACTTGCTTTTAATAAAAAGCATTCCGATCGTAACACTGGAAGTGTGCCTAGGACATGCTTCACAACCGAATGGAGATGCTCAATTGTTAGATGACGGACGAGAAAAGAACACTTTGGATTCATTTAAAATTCGTCGGACTTCAAAACCCCCAACAGTATTTGCCACTTTGCTGGAACTACCTCCACTGCTCTTAAAACAGCACTAAAGCAAAACAGGGGCCGGAACGGCGGCCCCCGGAGCCCCGCCCCCGGCCAGCACAAGGTGGCCTCGGGGTGTGTGGGCCCCCCCCCCTGCCAGGCCCGAAACTGTCCCACCGATTCCTGCTGTTTATTTTTTCTTAAGGCATTGTTCCTCAGACTTCAGAAAACCCAGCCACAAAAATCCATCAGAGCAATAAAAAAAAAGGCACAAACTCGCATCTTCCGATGGCTTTGAGAGCAAAGCCAGGCCCCGCAAGCTCACTCCCGCGTGTCCACTCCGCCCCGCGCCCGGCCGCGACCCCGCCAGCTGCGGGCCACGGAGGCGGCCGGGGCCTAGAAAACGTCCTCGTGAAAGAAAAAAAGAAGCTACAGGATGAGTCGAGTGGTTTACACGGAGACTGTGGAATTGTGGGTAATATCAACTGTAAGCACCAGTTTTAATCGAGTCCGTTTTGTGTGAGCAGATCTTTGATTTCCGTTTTCCTTCCCTCGGCGGGGCCGCTGGCCTCCCTCCTCCGCGGCTTCCCTCCCGGGAGCCGAGCGCCGGCCGCGCGTGTGTCCGTGCGTCTGCGCGGCGGCGTCTGTCCCGGGTCCGCGCAAGGCTGCCCGCCGCGGGGTGGGGGCCCGGGCCGGGCAGGGAGGGCTCCCCGCTGCCGCTCCAGCCCTGGCCGGAGATGGCGGGCGGGCCGCAGAGAAACGGGAGCTTTTCCTGGCGGAGCTTCAAGACAGGGACAGACAGACAAGAGAACCGCAGCTGCGGGTGCGGCTACAGGGGCGGCTCCTCTTCCATGGGCTCCTCGTCCGGTCTGTGGCGGGCGTCGCAGGGGGAGCGGGGGTGCGGCGGGCACGACGAGGGAGAGAGAGGCGGGGACGGTCAGGGGCGGTGCCCACCTGCCTCCGCGTCTCCCGCACCTGGCCCATCCGCCCGCCCTCCCCCTGCCCATCCGCACCCGCGCCCTCCCGCCGCCCATCTGCGCCTTCCAGCACCCGTGCCCTCCCGCCACTGCCCGTCCACGCCCTCCCACTGCCCTTTCTGGGCTCCCTGATCCCCAAGAGCGGCTGTGGAGGGGACCCCGCTCCGGAGTGAAGGGTCTCCAAGTGTTTCTCTGACTCTTTCACGCTGGAAAGAGCCGGTGGGGACCCCCGCCCTCCGTCCCTCCGGGGAAGGCCTGGCGCACAAGGCAGGGCCTGCGGGAGAAGCCACGCGCCTGGCACGGTGGCAACGCCTCGGCCGTCTGCACAACGTGGCACTGTTCAGGGAAGGGCCGGTGGGCCAGGGCGGAGGCGCTTACCTCTTCTCCGCGGGCTTCACGCCCACGGACAGTGAGGCCATGGCGGTGACGGTCTCGGCTTCCTCGTTCTCGCACTTCTGGGCCTCTACCAGAGAGTGTCCCACCGTGGAGCAGAGGCGTGGCAGGGAGCGCCAGTACTGGCCTGGGGCAAGGGAGGCGGCCGTTACTGGGACTTACCGGGTCTTCCGGGGGTCTCACGCCTCACCGGCACCTTTAAAAGCACCTCTTTCAGGGGGACAGAGGTCAAGGTGCACCCAGGCTCACAAACACGGCCACCCAAGTCCTCCTGGAGGTGGGGGCACCTGGAATGGGGGGGGTCCAGGGGTGATGGTGGTGGGCTGTGTGAGTGGGGCCTCCCCTCGGACTCTGGGAGCTGCCTGTGTGAAGGGGGCCTCCCGTGCACGCCCTCCGAGATGGGGGGGCGCCCAAGGGAGCCCCTCTGTGTTTGCTTGCACACAGGGGCTCTCAGCCGGGAGGCTGGCGGGGGCCCAGCGTCTGCTCAGGGAGCGCAGGTCAGTGTCGGCGATTTGGCTCGGCCTGCGCCCCTGGCAGGTTCCTGCTGAGCGCTGGCCCGGGCGACTCACTGTGGATTTCTATGACTTTCTCCATGGACCGGACAGCGTTAGCGTTGGGTCTCTGCTGCAGAACCTTTTCGGGGAGAGGATCAAGCTAGAAAAAATGCAGAAATGCGCTGTGAATATAGATATAACCCCGTGTGTGTGCAAACAGGACGCTCAAGGTCAGCACTTGCTGCTTACCGAGAAGAGGAAAACCCCAAATATGCCTTTGCTGTTTATTATATGATTTTTTTAAAAACAGAAGTAGATTTTCTTTTTTCCTATGAACCTTACGATTATGGCCCGAGCTGAAGGCAGACACTTGCCCCTAGATTTAGTTTCTTTAGGGGGACTTTCTTAGGGGACCGTGCGGTCTAGTGGTGAGGGGCTGTGTCAGGAGACCCCGTGTCGACGAGGGGCTGGTGGACCAGGACGCCCACCTGGGACCTGCTGGGACCCTGCGTGTGCCACGGGCTCAACGGCAGGGGAAAGGAGGCTGCTGGTCGGAAACAGCACTTCCACGCCCCTAGTCCTACGAAGAACGCTCAGACGCCCCGGTGACAGCGTTCTTCCAAAAATGGGGAAAAGGGAAAAGGAAGACAAGTGAGCAGCAGCTCTCAAAGGGGACCTTTCGCTGCGAGATCCTCCTCGGGTGCAGGCAGCGGAAGACACTGAGGAACCACGAGACGACGACCAGAGGGGCCACGGGGCAGCCCGGAGCGTCCCCAACCTGACAGCCAGGCGCACGGGTTCAAACACATCACGAAAACACAAACGTGACTGGAAAAACCTTTAAATGAGTAGACAAGCCTACAGAATGCGGGGAGATGTGCTGGGTTCCAGAAGGAAGCGGAACCTGCCCAGGGCAGTCACGCATCCCGGGACAGCGCCCCCCCCCCCCGCCCCCAAGTAAGAGCTGGCCTCACACGGACAACACGTGGAGCCAGATGCTGGGCAGGGTTCCGGCCTCGGCCTCGGCTCTGCGCACAAGGGACACGTGCCCCCGCGAGCCTGCCTGGTTTCCAGGCCGCTGTTGCAGGGGTTGGGTGGCTGGCGGAGCAGCCGCAGACCCTCTCGTGAGGCCCGTGTCCCCAAGCAGGCCGCCGGCCAGTGCTGCCGGCTCAGTGAGTGCCCAGAGTCTGAACCGTCATCAGACAGAGGCCAGCCGGCGCACCCCGGGGTCAGGAGGACCAGCAAGGCCTCTACTCCCGCCCTCCGGTGAAGGGAGCCAGGCTCCTTGGGGAAGTGGGATTTTCCAAGGCTGTGGCAGGAAGTCTGGGTAGGGTCTGGGGGCCTTGCAGGACCAGAGAGGACGGGCACGTGCCGACGGGATGCGCAGGAGGCCCGTCGGGAAAGAGACACACGGCGGGCACTGGACGTGAGGCACAGTGTGAACGTACTGATGGGAACAAGTGACTGAATAAACGGGGAGGAGAGACACGTTCCTTAATTCCAAGTAATTTCTGCACACGGCCCCTCTCCAAGATGTGGAGCTTCACCCCTTCCCATCTGTCTCCTCGAGCGTGAGCTGAGCCACACTTCCTGACTGCCACCACGGAGCACGTGTGGAAGGGGGGAAAGGTGACTTCACGCAAGCGCTCATGGGTCACTTCACCAGAGATAAGGCACGGGGAAGGCACGGTGCTGGGCAGGGGGAGGTGGGCCCCTGGGCCCCTGACCCCGGGCTCTTCCTCCCCCGTTCAACCATGAGGGAAAACCAGGCAAACATCAACTGAGGGGCATTCTACAAAACACCCGACTAGCGCTCTTCAGTTGAGGAAAACTGCCAAAATTTCAAAAATGACAACCCAGAGGAGCTTGAGAGGCCACCCCTGCGTAAGCCGGGGGGGGGGAGGTAAGGACACGGCATGGCTGGACGCACAGCGGGGTCCTGGATGGGACCCGGCGCGGGAAGGCGAGTGAAAGCTGGGCATGTTTGGGCGCGAGCAGTGCCTTCCAGGGTTGGCTCCCAGGCTGAGCTCACACGGGCCGAGAGGAAACCATCCGAGGTGCCAGCTACCCAGAACTAAAGGTCTAGTAAAACACGCAGATTTAGATCTCAAAGACCATAGTTATTGAAACAATCGGTTTTAAACTATGAAGTAAGTAGGTTTAAGATGCATTAAGAATAAGATACTACTCCTGAAATCACTATTGCACTATATGCTAACTTAGACGTAAATTACAAAACAAATAATAAAAAAAAAAAAATAAAGGTTACTTTTATAATAAAAAAAGAAGATGCTAATACAGGATCACTCAACTGACCTGGACGATTTGAAAGAGAGCCAGACAGAACTTCCAGAAATGAAAACATAACAGCAGAAATTGGAAACTCGGATCAGATAAAGAGAAAACGGGTAACCTCACTGTAACCTCAAAGCAAAAGCGAAGAAATGACCTGAATGCACCGGGAAGAGGGGAGGGTCAGAGGGGCAAGGTCTTGGTTTATCTGCTCGGTGTCCCAGGGGGTGGGAAGGGGTTGTTAATGGTGCCCTCGGCCGGCTGAGGCACAGCGGTCCCAGGTGACGGTCTGAGAAACGAGAAGAAATGAGCAAAGAACACGGCACGAATGCAGGAAAGGCCACGTAAACAAGCGGGACCACATAAAACCACAGTAAGGATGCAACTCAGTGCAATTAGAGAAAAAAAGGAAAGAGGCATGAGCTGCTAGTCAGGGATTGCAGGTGACCCGGGAGGAGTGGGCGGGGCTCCCCACAAAGCAAATAAATGTGCAGGGCACGTAGCTTTTCCACGTGGGCACGCAGCTTTTCCACGTGGGCATGTGCAACGGGGTGTCTGTCACTCAGTCTGCGGCCCCGCCTAGGTCTGAGGCGTGGGGAGGGAAGAGGCCACTGACCACGTCATGGGTACACGTTAACATCTGTAAGGATCGCTACTGGAAAACCACAACTCAGCCGGGGGAGCAGCTGGGATGCGGGGAGCCCTCCGTCAGGCCGTCACATTGAGAGAAGGCAAAAAGCTGATGGGGAGAAAGAGCTGCGGAAAACGGGTGAGTGCAGCGCAGAGCAAGATGCAGACGTGAGCCTGAAAAAGCTGCGAGGCAACAAAGGACGTTTAAGGGCCGGAGTCTCCACTTAAAGGGCACACTGCGGACTGGCTGTAAAATCAGGATGAAATCCTGCCTTAGCGGAGAGAGGAGGGGCTAGAAGACAGGATGGGAGACAGACAGACCCGGAGCAGAAGCCTCGGGACACGGTCAGTGGCTTGCACGACGCGCGTGAGCGGGAAGCCGTGGCTGACGTGAAGGAGGGCTCTACAGAGTGATGAACGTTTCAATCCACCGATAGGATAGGACTTAAAATTTGTACACATTTGGTGAAACTGCTTAACGCGTAGGAAGTCAATGTTGCCAGAAACAAAGAGGGTGGACGGAGACGTGCCACGGGAGTGGGTGGCCTGTCTTCCTTAGCAGAGCAGACAGAGGTCAACAGAGATAAACAAATGTGAACGGCACGAGGGGCCTGGAGGAGAGGACAGAGGCCTGGGAGGCGGGCGGAGGGGGCGCGTCCTCACGGGGGGCCCCCACCCTGGCCGGGGAGCAAGCCTCCCCCACGCCCACACCTCCTGCTCCTGCCACAGCCCAATCTGGCAGAAACTGGTCACAAATGAGAGCTGTGAGCCTCGAAGTTTGGAAATTAAAACAAAAAAACCCCCCACCAATCATGGGTCAAAGAAGGAAGCGACGCTAATCAGGAAACACTCAGAAATGAAAAGTAACAAAAGGGCCACGCACGTGAGTCCCTGCGGATGCTCTGAGACGCCCAGCGCAGAAAAGCAGGTGCTCAGTTTAGGAAGTGAGTGAGAGTCAGAGTCGTCCCGCACAAAGACGTAAAGAAAATACACAGAAGAGGGGCAGAAACATATTTTGGAACAGAAAAAGGACACCAGGGCTGAAAGCTGATTCTCCGGAACAGCTCGCCCGGCAGGCTGTGGCGGGACTGGGCGAGGGTGCTACTGAGGCACAAGTGTGGAGGCGGGCGGCGCGGGGGCCACGGCTGGGGTGTCACAGGCAGGAAGGAAACGGCCGTGGAGGATGAACCGGCGACGGCGTGGCCTCCCAACGTTAATTCAAGAAGGGACAGAAGTGGCGGCGCCAGTAACCTAGAGCTTCCCCACAAAGGAAACCCAGGGCCAGGAGAGCTCGCCAGTCGGGGAAGAGAGGGCGCTGCTCCCCCCCTCGCTCTGCCAGAAGACGGAAAGAGACGCCGCCTAAGCGTCCACCAGTCCACCCGCCCACCAATCCGTCCGTCTGACTACCCCTCACCTGTCCGTCTTGCAACTCACCCACCTACCCATCCCTCCAATCTCCCCCTCTAAGAATAAATGGGAAAACTACGGTCTAGTAGAAAAATGGGCGGAAGCCATGAACTTCACTGGAAAAGCAAGCAGGGGCTGCCAGCAGGCCCCTGGAGAGAGGCTCAGCACCGTCGTGATGAGGAAGTGGCCCACTGTGCCCGGGTGTGGTGCCCCCTCAGACTGGCAGAGTGCCCTGTGCGGGGCCTTTGGGGGAACCGCTGACCCGCGATAAGCCGGTGGGTCCCAGGTGGGGAGATGCAGAAGCGGAGCCACAGTACGACGGCCCCCTGCCCCCTGCAGCGGGGGCCCCGAGGGCAACCTGCCCGGCCAGGTCCTGGGTGAAGGGCGGTGAGGGGTGGGGCCCGGGCTCCCTGCACTGGGTCTGAGTCTTCACAGCTGCTGAGTCCTGACTGTCCTGCCCGACTCCAGTACTGTCAGAAACTTCGTCTAAAAGGTTTTAAGACAAAAACGGCTTTAGAAACCAAACTCATTCCATAAATTCTCACTGAAGCAGAGAGATGCACTGCTGCCTGGGTGGGGCTCCTCACGGCCCGTCTCCGGGGACGGCTGGCCGTCCAGGGTCTCAAGTCAGCCTCCCAACAGCCTCGGCCACTGTCACCTCCAAGCAGCGCGGTACACGGGTCACTGCACTGTCCCCACCGCCTGTTCCCACGGTGGCTCCCCGTCTCAAGCCCCCCAGGGGTTCAGCCTGCGGCTGGACCGGTGACGTGGGGCTCACTCTCTGTCCCCAGCTCCTGGCGAGGGCTTCTGGAGGGTGAGGGGTCACTGTGC